CTTTAATTTTAGTGCTTTCTAAGAAGCATAATCTGTGGCTTACACAGACCATATGGCCCATTTCTGGTTTAGCACCCTGGATTAGTTTAGCACATATATGCGAACTATATACACCTGGATCTCAAACTAGGATTGAGCAGACCATACAAGTTTCATGTCAATTGATTCCCTAAATTGTTGTTGGAGTGAAGGCCTGAGCAATCGGATAAGTTTTGATCAATTCGATAAATTTAATGATCTCTTGACTCTCTCCATCTTCAGTACAGTTCCTTGGATTCATATGTGCTAAATATTTTTGGGCAGCAGCTCAATTTTTCATGATGAGAACGTTGTCATATTCAAGGCGATGGTGATTTTTTACGTTTTTTAATCGTGTTCACTGTTTACGAAGAAGACCTAAGCTAGCATGTTGGTGATTATTGTGCTTTCATTGGTCAGCAAACAATGTCATTAAATTGAGTTTAGAAGCTCATGATTCATAGGTTCCAACATTTTTTTAATAAATTCTAGCTGCAGGTCTAGTAGCTCTATAACTATAGCTCTTCGCCCTGCCACAGGCACCTGTGTCAGGGCGAAGAGCTATAGTTCTAGAGCTACAGGTCTAGTTGCATGTTGACATCAATCTCTTATGGTGGCCACACAGGGCCTATTAAATCCAAGCCATTTTTTATACCGAATACCGGCGCCCAAATTACGACCCCCTAACAAAACGCCCAAATTACAAAATTCATAAAACGCCCAAATTAGCAGAGCTCTGAAAATTGTGAAAATTAAATCCATGTTTCTATCGTTATGTAGGCACTGTTATATATAAATATATATATATAATAAAATGCTCATATAAGATCTATAATCTATTATCTGAATAAATTGTTAATGTTATTATACATGTACGGGCCCTATACCTAAAAAATAGTTTAGACTCGATGTGCTCGCCAACAGTCCCAAAATTTGTTTTACGCTCACCATGGGTGCCCATATTAAGCAGCTAGATTAGCCCCTGCCACAGGGATATTTATGGTTAGTCTACGAAACGTGCAGAATTATACATCTATACTCCTGCAAAAAGTTGCACGTGGTTTAGTGTTGGAGTTATTCAGCTATAAATGATAATAGCATTTTAAATAATTACCTAATAGGCATATTTAAAGCAACGAAGCATTTTGCTAATATTAAACTAAGGGTTCGTATTGTTATACTCAGTGTTCTCATTAGGAACCGGCCACCGGCCGAATTGACCGTCTACTCTGCTGTTTCGGCCGGTTACAATTGGCTCAAGTATGATATTTAAAAAAAAAAAAAATATTTATTCTCCAAAGTGAGTGTTTTATGAGCTACTACTAATAAATCAGTTGAGTATATTTGTATGCATGTTATGTGCACAAGAAGCATTGTTTTGTTTTTGAGTAATGCTATTTACGTACTTGTCTAACTCTTATAATTACTAAATAGTCATAATTTGGAAACTTTTGATGAACCCTGAATGTACCAGGAGAAACCAAATTGGAAAAAAGGACTATACTGTAATCCAAATGTGTCTGTTTACTGCAGCTCAGAATACACCAGATTGCATCTCAGAGTCAGAGCATCTAGGTTTTAACAAAAAAATTTGGGGGGTACCCCCAAAAACCCCCGCCCGCACACCGCCACGGCCTGTTGCAAAAGCATTTGGGCCTGTTACTATAAAAGATAATGAAAACCCTGTATACTATAAACTTGATGTTTCAAATATTCATTTTCTACTAAAAGCCTATATATGCAGACATATTTTTTTCACTTCATTGCTTGGCACTTTTGAAGAATCATCGTTCATTGTCTTAATCAGTTGTTTATAAAATAGCAACCAATTTTGGTTTGCTTGATTATTCAAAAGGAGTTTTAATTTTTAGCTCGTGCAGCTTGTAGAATCGCATGAGCGTGCGTCCGTGATCCGTATGTCCGTGTGTCCGTGTGTTCGTCAACAGTTGGGCACAAATCTTAACCGCTCGACGTACGGTCATGATATTTGGGACGTCGGGGGGGATCGTGAAAAGGACTCGGGGTGACAAATTTGGGGGTCAAGGGTCAAAGGTCAAGATGTGTCAACGGAGGGGGAATATTTCCCCCTTAACTTAAGGTATAGGAGGAAATACGGACTTGCGGCACAAATCTGAATGGTGAGAAAGAGAGAGAGAGAGAGAGGGAGAGAGAAAGAGAGAGAGAGAGAGAGAGAGAGAGAGAGAGAGGGTTAGAAGACAATGTATCTAGACAATCAGTCGCACAGCGTCGTTGGGCTAGAATACGTATGCATAATGATGCTCCCAGCAAAAACATGAGCCAGCAGCCGCCGCCGCGCCTGGCTGAAGGCCTGCCTCGCGGCTCGCGGAGTTTTTGCGCTGCTTATCTTTAAGCGGCGCAAACAACATAACATTCTCAGTGAACGATGTAAGCACATGCCATTCTCTCTCTCTCATCACTACTAGTCTTGTGCTCCTGGTTTCGTCCGGTCGTCGGTCGTGGCTTTTGAGCATACCATATTTATGAATAGAGCGGCAGCGCGCACAGCATGGCTGCGTTGTTTGCGTACGTGCCTGGCTGCGTTGTTTGCGTACGTGCCTGGCTGCGGCAGCATTGATGCATGTATATAGATACCTTATTGATATCAAGCGCATACTACAGCAAACGAATACACGCAGGGTGAGGAGACCGTGTAAAGGGCATGAAGTGACTAGGTGACAATTGTTAGTCACGGCAGGTGACAATATGCGCCAGATAAGGTTCGCAAATACGGCCGGTGACGGGACGACGGCGAGGATGTCGAAACGCGAGTCAATCTATAATCGGAAAGGCCCCCCCCCAAGGCCGCCGTAGCCGAGCCGGTGTACGTGTGACGAAAACTGCGCGATGTTATGCTGCCCGCTATATGGATTCGCGCGCCCGCCTGGCGCGCGAATTCGTATAGCGGGCAGCGCGAGATGCTACATACAACACCCCGCCGTCGCGTGCGCCCAGTCCCGCAGAAGTGCGCGGCTTAACCGCTCTCGGCGGTCGGGGAACAACGCATCTTTTGCGCAACGCAATCTTGTACCCGGTCTCTCTGGTTTTAGCACATTGAATTCATACTTTTACGTACAATTCATTAGTGACGCACCGTTACTTGCATTACAATACGACTAATGTCATTGCATTAGCCATACATTACATGATCTACATCTATGGTAGCCTCAAGTTCCCATCTCGCTTAACACTACGTGGCGAGAGGGTCACAAACCGACGCAATAGAATTTTGTTCGGCAGTACGTGCGCTGCTATTTAACGTTAAATTATCTAACTTTTTATGATTCTTACAGCTTCTCTGTACTTCCACGCCTCAATTTATTATATGTGCGCTATCACTGAGCATGTACGTACGTGTCAGCGAGTAATTGTTTATAAATTGATAAGATAAAACTCAAAAAACGCCGCCATTTCCCCATAGATATCCCATAACACGTATCGAAAGTTTGTGAATTTTCACGTACAAGAAGAGACATAAGAACATCCAGAATGGCGTTTTACAACGTTCAAATAGTATAGCTGTTCGAAATTCTCTTATTTTAACGTGTATTTCGAGGTAAATAGTAATTAAGAAGTGTAGCGATAGTTGCAACATGTAACAGATGAGGTCAAATGTGGTAATACATTGTTTTATTTACGAAATTTTACGAAACTCGGAGTTTGTTTTCAAGCTACCAGGCATTTCGTATGGAAGGGTGTCAGGCTCCTCCGCCGTGTAACAGTCGGAGAGCCTGGTCGGTTTACATCTATGGCTAATTCAGGTGAACTGTGCAAAGCACTACACCCCCAAGACTCAAAGTGTTACTGTGAGTTATGCTACTACTCGTCGAGCTCACGATCACTGAACAGTCAGATTATACGTAATAGTACTATTAGTATTACTATATTTTATTTTTTAGTATTCACAAATTAAGTCCGACCCGGCCACAACCACAGGCACCTATATCTAACACGATCCCCCAATGCGAGCACCGAAGGTGTGAGAAGGTAGGACACACAATTTCACGAATGTCCGATATCAATGAAAGTTTTTGATTCTCAATAAAAATATGCACATCCCCGTATTCCTACTTTGTTGTACTAACCTCCCCTGTATATGTTTGCACTGTCGATGATATTTGACAGCGTTAGGAGAGTAAAATCCGTCGCCAGTAAAAAATTAACAGTTCCCACACGTTCAATGGCGGTCATGGCGTGGCAAGTCATGGCAATGCCGCCACCTGATAGGACAAAATTCTAAACACAAGTCGCCGCCATTTTTCTAACGTGTGGGAACTGTTCATTTTTTAACAAATATGGAATATATGCTATATACGCTGTAAAACATGATTGACAGTTCAACCAAAGACGCCGGAGACAACAATACAAACTAAGAACGTGTATGCACATGTATTTTAATTGAAACGTTCACATTTTTTATCTAAAAAAGGTCCGATTTGATAAAGTCGTGAAATTGTGTGTCCTACCTTCTCACACCTTCGGTGCTCGCATTGGGGGATCGTGTTAGATATAGGTGCCTGTGGCCAGCTGCGACTAAGGACAGCGCGTCTCCCATGGTACCGAATTCTCTCCCTAGAGGGCCTTATTATTATTATTTTTAATTAGGGATAGGGTTAGGGTTAGGATTAGGGTTAGGGTTAGGGTTAGGGTTAGGGTTAGGATTAGGGTTAGAGTTAGGATTTGGGTTTGGGTCAGGGTTAACTGATTTTATTAATTGTTAATTAATAATGCGCCATCTAGCGGATCACTATCTCTCACATGAAACCTACTATTTCGGGCTTGGGAGACGCGCTGTCCCTAGTGGCACCCCCTGTGGCCACAACCGCCGAACCGGCGAAGTCGACGCCGACGGTGATCAGTTACCACCCGCATTCACTGAACTACAGTTGAATATTATTAATCGAGAAAATAAAACGTCACGCGTTTATGATGATTACGCAGTTAGTAACCTGTTAACAATATACCTTCGTAGAAGGATCATCATCACCGCATAGCCTGGATACTTCTTCAGTGGAGAGCGCCATGTTGAATTTGTGCCTGGAAAGACGATATCGCGAGTTCTCGTGAGAGTTTTCTTTCCCGAGGAGGAAACATCAGCATGAAGTCAATAAAGATTTTAATTTTTCTCCTGTTTATGAGTGAGTTGTAGTATTTTCATTGATGCCGTTACAAGGCGAACACGTTCAGTAAGTACTGTAAGCAATGTATTCGTCTATATTAAGTAATTTCAACAACGGTGCTCATTTACTTTCTAGGGGTAGATTTTGTCTTTGCTGTTTTCTATCGACCATGTTATGTTGCTCACTTGTTTTTCACTGGTTAAGATTTTAGAAATTTTATATAGTTATTGTTATAACACACGTTCGAAAGGTTGCGCCGATAGACAAGTAAACAGAATTTACAGTTCGGAATGCTCTGTTTCTTGTGATGACGTTATCTAGTTATTTACTCGTAAATTACGCATACAGTTCTCAAAATAATGGAAAGTAAAATACGAAAATACATGACTTTCTGTACCACTATGCACTAGACCAGGGGTGTCAAACATACGGCCCGCGGGCCGGATCCGGCCCGCGAGATGATTTGATCAGGCCCGCGACATGTAGAGCATAAATCTCTGAGTATGTCAAAAAAAAAAGTAAGTCTCTAGCGGCTAGACTTTTGTAAAAATGTATTCACTCAACTCTATTTGAGTCATTGTTAATGAATGTGAAATGCATTTTATTTCAATTCCATTGGCCTATCTGTGAATAAATGTGTTGTGCTAATATAGATCTTTGTGGTCCGTGATTATGTAGGCTACACATGTAGGCTGAATGATAAAGCATAGTACTGAAAAACAAAGCTAAAGATTTGGAGTTGACGTAGGTTATTTTGCCATTATTTTACTGGTCCGGCCCACTTGAGATCAGATGGGCTGTATGAGGCCCATGAACCAAAATGAGTTTGACACCCCTGCACTAGACCTACCACTGTACCAGTGAACAATGTCAGTGACTACAATTTACAAACTTTTCTACACTCTTAGACTCTTCCATTGCATTTAAGATGAGCTTCTAAGGGGGTACAGTATAGCCTATAACTTGCGCCGCCTTAAACAACAACCAGTGGCTGAGTGCTCTTCCGGACATACACAGTTTACAGTCAGGTTGTAAGGTATACTTTAGCCTAAGGAACACTGCTTTGCTTTAGCTCCAAGAAACGGTATTGCTAGGGTTAGAATACCGTTTCAAACCTTGGCTGCAGCTAAACACGTAGTTGCCATAGAGAGAGTCAGTCAGACTAAATTGTTTACAAACAAATAACACCCACGCGGCGCGCTACTGTATCAGTTACGTCCTCGATTGAAATGTACATTCCGATTTCTCCGCGCGGGCGTCCAAACTTTCGACGAAGATGGGCGGACAGAGGTAAAGCAGAGCGCACGCATAACGTACAGATTTCTTCAATGTCGGGATGATCAACATATTTCGACTGACAGTCAACCATCGGCTCTGAGCGTCCACAAGCCAGGAAGCTCCACCATATCCCGACATTGCACACTACTGAAACGTCGACG